GTGAATTTGGAGAAAGGATTTTAAATAACGAACGAATAGTAGAAAATGTGCAAGGCGCAAGAAATTTCATCACCACCAGTTCTACAAAAATTTTCGTTCACACTTTTAGATTTAGACAGATTCATTACAGACTATGAACAATATATTCCCTCCAAAAATGTTAAAAAAATGTAATCCTCTAACATTATTTCAGACAATATAAATTTAACCCATCCGATCTATTCAAATCATTCAAAATTGGAGCTAAAAATTACAATGCACACGGAATTACACAACCAGAGGGAAGGTACTATACAACTAATTTTATAACATTACGCCAACAAAATCTGAAAGCCGAAAATGAAACAGTTCAAGAATATGAAGAAACTGGGGTTTTTATTCGATAATTATCAGCAACTAACAATATAAAAATTTTATTTTTAAATGTGAAGTTTATAAATCGTTACATTTTCGGTACAAAATGATTATGTCAATGTCATCCGTCACTGAACTAGAAAACTGTTGTCTAACTTTATTAAATAAAGTATAACAATTTTGCAGTTATTTTGTTAATAATGGATTCGATTTCTATTGCATCGCAAAGATTTTTACATAATTTTAAAGCAGGTTTATATAGTAGCAGAAAACTTATACAAACTATTCGAAACTATAATAATATATGATACAAATTAATATCTATTAATGTCTCTAAATGCATTGACGTTTAAAGCTAGCGTAATTTACGACAAATTTTATAACGATAAATACAGTACGTATTAAAGGATTATAAAAAATATTGTTAGGGTACGGATTGGGTTACATATCCCTTGATCGTACGTACATATACGTATTGTAAACCAAAGATTTCAATGTAACGGTAATTGAAATTTTAAAATTTTAATTATTTCTTTATTATCAGTATTTCAGTCATGGTGAGATTATCGTTACGGATTAGCGTTAGCGTTAGATCAGTAGATTAAAAAAAATTTTATTGCAGGGACTGTTGCTCGAGAATTTAATGCACGTGTTCAGAAAATTTAGGATTTCATGTGAAAAAGATGAGAATATTATCATTATGCCAGATCATAATCCTGAACGCACCAATCTCGACACCATTTTTGATGAAATGCAAAATAAATAAATAATTTTAATTAGCAAATGCGTTCATTACCTCCGAGACTCACATCCGCACAAAAATCAAAAGTCACATTGTCTCTTTTTACAACAGTGGCTTTATTTGCTATATTTACCGTTGCTGCACCTCCTTTTTTACCATGCCCTGCTCTTGATGACACACAACGTAGGGCATTATTGGAACAACGTCTTAAAGCAGCAAAACTTGAAGGATCCAGCAGAAAAAAAGTCGTGGTGATATCGAGAAATAAAGATGATATTACCGGAAAATAGAATGAATCAGGAAACTAAGGTAATCATAATCTATATCGTTATTGTGAAAGATAAATATGTTTATAAGGTGGGCTCATACTCTTATTAAACACCTTAGCACTTAGTACGTGCATATACACGTAAATAAATAAAAGATTGTAATAAAAGATTTTTTTTTTTTTTAAATTTATATATAAAATTTTAAAAAAAAAAATTTAAAACCCCGCCCGACTATTATAAAAAAAAAATTTTTCTTCAAAAGTTTCCAAAATTTACCCGGCCGGGTTATGAGTAACAATTAATTAAATTTGTATGGCCTTAGATATTATAAACCTATAAATATTTTTTTGTATTGTCATTACGTTTTAAAATTAATGGTCCGTGTATACACAAACCAGCGTTGTAAAATGAAGAGGTCTATTAGTAAAAGTTTATTAATAAATTCACCATGCAGCGAGAATTTATTCTCGACTAGTTTGAGTACAATTTCACTATATTAAGAATTTAATTATCGAGAATTCGTTATAACAAGATTGATTTTTAAATAAATCATGTAATTTGTTCTAGAACTAAAGTTTTTGAATTATTAATGTCACATCAATGAAAATAATGACACGAGTTATATATATTAATTTGGTTAAAGAAAAAAAAATAACAATAATGAATATAAAAAATTTAGAATTACTACAAGTTCTCAATTTGTTTATGAGGTATCGGTTTTTTTACTGTGTTAACTGCGCTATTATTACCATATGTAATTTTTGGTTTTTTATCCAAACGTTTATTATTATTTTTTGTTATAATATTTAATTCTCTGACATCTCTTGTGGTGATACGAGGTCGCCTTCTTGGAGTTTTAAGCTTTTGCAATGCTTCATGGATGATTGTTTCACATTTAAGTTTTATTTCACGAGCCAAATCTACATCGACAAATGTATCTGAAAATTTGTAACTGTTCAAAAAAGTAATTGGGTTGTCAATTAACAAAAAAATGTAATATACATCGAATCAATAACACCATTATTTTACCTTAAGCAAATCGCTGGACGAGCTGGTCGGTTTGGTACTGAAAACTCTGTTGGTGAAGTAACAGCGTAAGTATTTTGA